TTTTTTTTTTTTTTTGTTGATAAACTGTTTAACAGCGGTTTTGACAAAATACTGATATAATATTTTGAGCGAATAAGTAATTTTTTAATGTTTAGGTGATTTGTTACCTGTTGATGGTCTTCTTTTGCAAAGTAATGACTTAAAGATCGATGAGTCTTCACTAACCGGTGAATCTGATCTGATCAAAAAAAGTCCTGACACAGACCCGGTGATACTTTCCGGCAAGTGATGACCAGCATTTTAATTTACACCTGTGGTTTTCTTCACTCTATAATTTGCATCTATTCTTTTTTTTTTTAAATGATGATAAGCAAATATATGTTTTTAAGTTTTTTTTCAAAAAGTAAAAAAGATTAAAGAAACACTTTGTTAAAAAAGATTCTAAAGTTTTTGTCTTTCCGTTTTCTTTATTACAATTGTGCTTATGTTTTTTTTTTTTCGTTTAGGTACAAACGCAATGGAAGGCAGTGGTAAAATTTTAGTAACTGCTGTTGGGGTAAATTCGCAAACGGGTATAATCATGACACTTCTTGGGTCTACAAAATCTGAAAACAATAGTAAAAGTAATTCCGTGGCTCCAGAAGAACATATAAACGGCATTAAAAGTGACGGTCGTAAGTTTTTTTATTAACATATTTTCTGAAAACAAAGAAGTTTTAAAGGACAGCTCTGTTGAATAAACGTTTTTGTTTTCAACAGTAAATAATTTTATTTTTTTGTTTTATCTTATTACATTTACTGGCAATTCTCAAATGCTTTACTCTTAACAACTAAAACTTTTACAGATACAGTTTCTGTTTCTGCAGTTGAATTCAAAGACAAAAAACGTTCCAATGGTTTAGAGCCAGTTGAAGAAGAATCAAAATTGGCTAAATCAATTTTACAAGAAAAGTTGTCTGCTTTAGCGCTACAAATTGGTTACATTGGTAAGGATCAATGCTGTAACAATCAATGACGTCTTAAACACCATTTAAATATGTTCATTTATGCTGTTAATCTATTTGTTTGATCAGCGTAGGTTTATTGCAAAGAAACGCTGAATTACTGTTCAAGTGATCAGTTGGATTTGAACAAAAAATCAAACTATATGGTCTAAATTATAGGATTTGTGGTTGCTGGAGCGACAGTAATTATTCTGATAGTTAAACATTGTATCTCAAAATATGCAATTGACCAAAAAGCATTTGAAACTTCTGATATATCATATTTTGTTAACTATATAATTACCGGTGTGACGGTTTTGGTTATTGCTGTACCTGAAGGTTTACCGTTGGCAATAACGCTTGCTTTAACTTATTCTGTCAAAAAGGTTTGGTTCTCTATAGGTTTCAAATTTTTTGATTTTTTAGAGACAATATTTTCAGCGGATTACTTTTTAAAAGTTGAAACAGAGAAAAATGTTTATCAACTGATTATTTTTACAGTCATATTTGTAGATTTCTGGATTTTTCAGATGATGAAAGATAATAATTTGGTAAGGCATCTTGACGCATGTGAAACTATGGGGAATGCAACGGCAATATGTTCTGATAAAACTGGTACTCTGACTACAAATCGAATGACTGTAGTACAGTCTTATATCAACGGTTTGATATTTTCCAAATTTTTCTTCGGTTTTTAAATAACAAAATAACTTTTAAAATAAGTCTTAGAAATTTTTTAGACGGTTTAAATATTACAGCAATTTTGCAGAAAATTTTTACAAAGGAGCTGCTCCAAAATATGAACAATTGAATGAAAAAACTCGTCAGTTGTTGGTTGATGGAATATGTATAAATGGTGGCTACAGTACTCATGTAAGTGAGCCACAAAAACCAGGCGAGAGGAGGACACAGGTATTGAAATCAAAGCAGTCATTCTTCTCAAAAATCTTCAAATCAGATCTACATCTAAGAAAAGACTATGATAATTTTATTATGAACACTGGTAACAGCGGTTTTTTACAAAAAAAAAAAAGTAACACTATTTGCAGATAGGAAATAAAACTGAATGTGCGCTTCTGGGCTTTGTTCTTGACCTCGGTCGCTCTTATATGGATGTAAGAAAAGAGCATCCTGAAGAAAGCTTATTGAAAGTAACAATTTTTTACACTCAAAAAAGCCTGGTGTAATTTTCTAAGTCTCTTGGCTAATTTTACTGCTCTACATTAGGTATACACCTTCAACTCGGTTCGTAAATCAATGATGACTGTTATTAATCGTCCAGGTGGAGGCTTTCGCGTTTATGCAAAAGGTGCATCAGAGATCATCTTATCTAGGTAAATGCCTCAATTATGAAAATTTTTTAATAATTTTAATCAATCGTCTTCTTTATTGAAGCTTTCTTGTTATTCTGGTCATGAATCATTTTTTTATCTATCTGTTTCACAGGTGTTCGTACATTTTGGGAGCACAAGGCAAAGTTATTCCATTCAACGATAAGCAGCGAGAAAGCATGACACGGAACGTGATTGAACCAATGGCGTCAGATGGATTACGCACACTTGGTCTTGCATACAAAGATTACATACCTAATGACCAGAATATTGAAGCGAACGAAGTAAGTGTTATTAAAATAATTTTAATTTTGGAATAAAGATGATGAGTTTTTGGTATTTAAAAATGTAACAAAACAATGTCGCTGCTAGCATTTTATTTAATTTTTGTTCGCTGAAAATTTTTTGACAAATATCACAAAATAACTGCTAAAATTATAAGTTCAAAAAAAAACTCATAAAGAATGCTGATATTTTGCTTATATTCATCACTAGACAATAAGGTTAACGTCCTTATTGCTAATGTTAATTGTGGTTTTGTAAAAAAAATGACTCTTTTTTTCAGCCTAAAATACCTTTTTTGTTGTCAACAGCAACGAAGAAACACCTACGAAGACTAAAGAGTCAAACAGCAACTTTTTTCAGGTACACTTTACTGGTGAGGTGAACTGGGATGATGAAGAGTCTGTTAGAAATGGAATGACTGCGATTGCAATTGTTGGAATTCAAGACCCAGTTCGTCCAGAAGTTCCAGAAGCTATTCAACGATGTCAGAATGCAGGAATAACTGTGCGTATGGTCACTGGAGATAACATCAACACGGCTCGTGCTATTGCAACCCAGTGTGGTATTCTGAAACCCGGGGGAGACTTTTTAGCCCTTGATGGAAAAGAGTTTAATGAAAGGTTAGCTTTTAGCTTTATTTTTTTTTACAAAATGGCATTTAAATAAGTCAAGCAAGCAACCAGGGTAACCCAGGAAAGAGTAAGCAGAGTAAAAAGCAATCTCATTTAGTGGTTTCTTTGCTAGGCATCTTCGTTGTTAAGTATGCATATTGGTATAAATTGCAGAATCAAAAACAGTGATGGAAGTGTCAGCCAAGAGAAATTGGATGCAGTATGGCCTAGGCTGCGAGTATTAGCGAGAGCACAGCCAAAAGATAAATACGTCCTCGTCAAAGGGATCATCGATAGCAAACATTCTAAAAACAGGTTTAAAGTGTTTTAGCTTGCTTTTAAAAGATTTAAAACACACCGGAAATTTTTTCTAGCTTCAATATGAAATTATTATGAAAACAAGAGACATTTTTTGGTTATAAAAAATAAAAACACATTAAAAAATATTACCGTTAATGACTGGTAAAAGTTTTGCAAATATAACAGGACTTTTTTTAAGGGAGGTTGTTGCCGTAACAGGCGATGGTACAAATGACGCTCCGGCCTTGAAAAAAGCCGATGTCGGCTTTGCCATGGTAAAGTTCATTTGGTGAATTGCCGTTTCACACATGGAAAAACAAACGAAGAGGCTTAATATAAACGCTTTTTTGTAGGGGATCGCCGGAACTGACGTTGCCAAAGAAGCTTCTGATATTATTTTGACCGATGACAACTTCACTTCGATAGTTAAGGCTGTAATGTGGGGGCGAAATGTTTACGATTCAATAGCTAAATTTTTACAGTTTCAACTTACGGTTAACGTTGTTGCTGTTACTATTGCGTTCATTGGTGCATGTGCAATAACAGACTCACCATTAAAGGTAGTAGTTTGGGACACTTCAGAAGTTATTTAAAAACCTGAGTACCACTGTAGTCTATTGTTTAACCCTGCATTATTTTTCCTTTGGGTTGCCAAGTTATTAACTCTGCTCTATTTATACGCCATCATTTCAAAAAAATTTATGCAGTACCTTCTCGAGTTTTAGCATTTTAGCGACATAATTTAAAATTATCACTCGTATGCTTTGTTAAAGTTATCTTTTTGGTAGTGCGTGATTTGTTGGTCATGCGGCTCCTTCACAGAGGCAAATATAAGAATCTGTAAGATGCAGGTTTACCATATAAACAATCTTCCCACACCTAGTTTCGCTCATCTATGTAGAAACCTTATAATAAGTGAGCATGGCGCACATACTGCTAGTTTGTAAAAATCAGAAAAGAAATTATGCACTTTCTCTTGAACTGCAGTGGATAAGTAAACCGAAATTTGATGAAAAAGTAATGAAAACTGAAAAATAAAAAAAAGAGTTTTTTTGGATTAGGTGCTACAAGGCACAGCAGCGTCAGAATTCAGTTTTGAAAGTCGGCTTTGAAACAAGGTAAAAAACTGGAATAACGAGAAGGTTCTACTGAAATTCTATTTTAAAAAGTCTTATTTTAAAGTAGCATAAAACGATCCGAAGTTTAGGCTGTTCAAATGCTTTGGGTAAATCTAATTATGGATACTTTGGCATCATTAGCATTAGCAACTGAATATCCGACTGCCGACTTACTGAATCGAAAACCATATGGTCGCACTAAATCTTTGATCTCACGAACAATGGTGAAGAACATACTTGGACATGCTATCTTTCAACTTATAGTATTAATGGCGGTACTTTTTTGGGGTTGGTTTTCTCTTTTACATTTAATTTAAAAAGTTTATGCTATTAGTTAATTTTGTACAATGTGAGAAATTCTGCATTTTTTGTATGTTAACTTTTTTATTACTGAATACTGCTTGCGAAATTCGCACTAAAAAAAGCTACGTTTTTTTTCCTTGTTATCAAAATTAATTTTTAAGGCGACAAGTTTATTCCTGGCATTACCAATGCTCGTGGAGCTCCGCCAAATGCACCACCTTCAAGACATTTTACCATCATCTTTAACGCATTCGTACTGATGACTCTAGTAAATGAGATTAATTCCAGGAAAGTTCATAGTGAACGAAATGTTTTTAAGGTATGTTTTGGGATTATTCCTTATCAAAAATTGACAGCTTGAATCAAAAGTGATGATTGCAGCAAAACATCACTTATTAGACTAACAGGTTTACTGCAAAGTTTGCTCAGCTAAGAAACTATAAAAACGATGGCATATTCATATAGATGAAGTTACAAAAAATGACGAAAAATTTTTTCTGAGGTTGGTACAATCGCCACTTTTCAGGGTCTTTTCACTAATGCCATCTTTTGTGTCATCTGGGTGGCTACACTGATTGCACAAGTTTTAATTGTCCAGTACGGCGGTGCTTGGGTTTCCACGGCTCCTTTGAATCTGATACAGTGGGGATTTTGTGTAGGATGTGGTTTTGCTACGCTGATCTGGGGACAGGTGAGCCGCATTTATCTATTGCTAGAAAAATAGGAAATGCCACTTCTCTTTTAAAAATGCACCTCTTGGGTTTAGCGAGCTCTCCATTAAAAAATTGAAGTAGAAAACAATGAAGAAAAAACACGTTTTGAAGCTTCACAATACAGTGCGAAATAATAAACAAATCTGTGTTGCATCCCAGAGCAGGTTTGAACCATTGATGAACTGGGTATTCTGCTTGTAACCTCGGTATTCCAAAACTTCGCCGTTCTCTCAGTTACTGCGTTATTGCAGATTATTTCCACTATACCTAGCACTATTCTGCCACAGTCGTTCTCCTTTGGACGAGGTGAAGTTAAACCAACATCAATACTTGTGACCGGCGAATATGAACAGCCTGCCGGATTTTTGTCGAAAGATGCAGACAGTAGGAGCGGTCAACACCTATGGTTACTTGGTCTAACCAGACTGCAAACTCAGGTCTGTTTTGTCGATGACTCATTTGCTGAAACTGCATTCAGCGTTGCATATTTACTAACAAATCTGGTGATTTTCTGTTTAACCCTAAAGCTTTCTCACTTTATCAGCTGTATGAACACATGGTGATTAAGCACTATAAAGTTTGCAAGCTGTTCACAACTGTTCTTGAACAGTGTTCTATGCTTCTTAACCCCGCTGTTACCTTTGTGTTTTAAGTAGTAAAATGTGTTATATCTTTTGATGTTTTTTTTTAACTTTAGTTCACAATTCAGTCGGAAAGCATTAATAATTTTTTGCTTCTTTCTTCTGTTCTACTGGTCTAATTTGAGTAAATTCTTCTTTGAAAGAAAAATTTTAGCTGCAGATACATTTTAAAATATAAATCGCTTTCTCTGACAGCCTCTCCGTGAATTTCAGTTCTATCTGTAGCTTTTTTGATTCAGAAACTCAGAAAAATAACTCTGCCTTTTCGGACATCCCGTCTGAAAAAAGGCATCTCTAACACTGCACGCTGTTTTGAACGATATCCAAAAGAAAAAGAGGTTCTAAAGCGTTACAGTGCAGAATCTCTCTTTGCAATATCGATGAAACAGGTGACAATTGACGTCGACGAAGGCGTTTCACCTGTTCGAGGTACTTCCCAATTTAGATAAGGCTAAATTTTTAATTAAATTGCGGATAGGATAGGAAGTTTTAAGAGGAGGGTGATGTCAGAGAAAATTTGGAAATTCTCCTTGGCTGGAGAAATAGCATTTTTTTGGCGGCAATAATTTTGTAGATGAAGATTGAATAAAAAAAAAAAAAAGGGAGTAACAAATGAACTGAACTGAATGAATTATGAAAGCTAAATAACAGCCTAAATGGACCATCAAAAGGTATCATTTATGCTTTTTTTGATTAGCTTTCTAAACTGCTGAGAAGTATTGTAAATCAGTGAGGCTCTTGTCTGAGCGGTAATCTTTTTTTTGCTTCAGTGAACAGAGGAACGTCTGTCAGTAGAATTCTAAAAAAGCTCTGGTCTGTTACAGTATCATAAGGGCTAGCTAGTAGTGAACTTTTCAGATAATAAACAAACAAATTTTCTGGATTTTTTCATGACTAGTTGTTATTTCAATGCTCTAACCATGACGGTTCTATCGCCGAAAAGAAATTATAGATAGAATTTTACTTTTTACTCTTTAATCGTGTTTGTATCAAACAAAATTATTTTTGTAACCTTTATTGATGGCTTCTTCTTTCAAATTGTTCTTGCTTTGCAATTTTTCCGCTTAAGTCTGAATCCTTGTCGAGCTACCTCGTTCGTTAATCAAACAATATTACGTTTTAATACATTTCGAGCATGTTTAAACCTGTTGATAAAGCGAGATGAAGTTGCTAACGGCTTAGGCAGTTTAATCCCACATTTACTAATAATTTCTGCTTCACAACAGCATGTCTCTTGGCGACATAGCATGGCTAAATGTTTGCTGTTAGCGGCTGTGTATTAAATCTGTCGTTTCTAGATGCGAGTGGTTCGTGCCTTCCAGTCCAGTACAGCATTTTCGCATCCATCGTCGTTGACGACCACAACGGCAGAACGTTTACGGGCAAGTTATCGGCGGCTACAAATTGCTCGTGAACTTGAGGAAAGGAAAAGTGCGTAATAGGAAAAGAAATTTTTTGTTCCACCT